GGAGTTTACATAGGTATAAGTTGATTATGTTAGAATGATCTCTGCCCAAAAAATGAAGGGGTGAGAAAGAGATACTACTGGAAGAAAGAGGAAGGGAGAAGCACAAGTAGGAAGATTTTTCACAAAGAAGAGCTTTTACAGTGGAGGGGGAAATGGGGGTAAGGTAGTGGGCAATGCTTGAACCTCGCCCTCATCAGAATTGGTTCAAAGAGGGAAGAATATATATACACACTCAGTTGTGTATAGAAATGTAACTTACCCAATAGGGAAATAGTAGGGGAAAGGGATAAGAGAAAGGGGAAGAATGGTGGTAATGAAGAAAGGAGGGCAGATTAAGGGAGGCAGTGGTTAGGAAAATAGACTTTTGAAGGAGAGACAGGACGAAAATAGGGAAGAATAAATACAAGAAAATTGGCTGTAGGGAAATATACCGTTGGTATTCATAACTGTGAATGTGAATGAGTTGAACTCACCCATAAAACAGAAGCAGACAGTAGAATGGATTAGAAACCAGAATGCAACAGTATGTTGTTTACAAGAGACACACTTGAAACAAAAAGACACACGCAGAGTTAAAATAAAGGGCTGGAGCAGAATCTGTTATGCTTCAGCTGAAATAAAAAAAAAGGCAGGGATAGCAATCGTAATCTCAGACAAAGCAAAAGCAAAAACAGACCTAATTAAGAGAGATAATCAGGGAAACTACATTTTGCTAAAAGACACCGTAGACAATGACATAATATCAAAACATTTTATAATCTCTCTGATAAAAGACCTCATTTCTTAAATGTATACTGAGTATAGAACTGAGTCAAATTTATAAAAATAAGAGCCATTCCCCAATTGATAAGTGGTCAAAGGATATAAACAGGCAGTTTTCAAAAGAAATCAAAGCTATCTGTAGTCATATGAGAAAAATTCTCTAAATCTCTATTAGTTAGAGAAAGGCAAATTAAAACAACTCTGAGGTACCACCTTACAACTATTAGAAATGACACATGCTGGAGGGGATGAGGGAAAAATAGGTATACTAATGAACTACTGGTTGAGTGGTGAAGTGGTCCTACCATTGTGGAGAACAATTTGGAACAATGCCCAAAAGGCTATAAAACTATGCATACCCTTTGATGCAGCAATACCACTACTATGTCTGTATCCCAAAGCGATAAAAGAAAAAGGACCTATACATACAAAAATATTTATAGCAGCCCTTTTTGTGGTGGCAAAGAATTGGAAATTGAGGGGAAAATTGTCAGTTGGGGAATGGCTGAACAAGTTGTGGCATATGATTGTGCTGGAGTACTCTTGTGCTGTGGGAAATGATAAGGGAGGTGGTTTCCGAAAAATATGGCAAGACTTATATGAACTGATGCAAAGTGAAATAAGAAGAACCAGGAGATCATGTTGCACAGTAAAAGCAGTGTTGTAATAATGTTCAACTGTGAAAGACTTGGCTACTCTGATCAATACAATGATCCAAGACAATTCCAAAGGACTCATGATGAAAAATGCTGTCCACCTCCAGAAAGAGAACTGATGAACTCTTAAGTATAAATTGAAGTATAATTTTCTTTATGTTTCTTGCTTTTTTAAAAAAAAAATATGGCTAATAGGGAAATGTTTTACATGATTTCATATGTATAATTGAGATCATATGGCTTGCCTTCTCAGTGGGTAAGGCAGGGAGTGGGAGGTGGAAGAGAATTTGGAACTCAATATTTAAAAAGAAAAGCATACTCAAATAATAAATTGAAAACTATTTTAAAAGAAGTATTACCATTTAAAAAAATTAAGTGCTTGCTTTGTGCTCCCCCCAACATCAGTATTTCCCATGTACATTTTTCATTTAGTTAGGTAGATATTTCTATAGAAAAATATAAGAATTCTCATGTTTCTACTTATAAATTAACTTCATTTTGTGAATTTAATAAGGATGCTTCTCTTTTTTTCTGATTTTTATCTCTACACAGACGAATGTAGTCAACAGTTAAGGCATTTGGTAATACCTTTGCCCATATCTCAGTAGCTTTTGTTAAAAATTGAACATTCACTTCTAAGCTCATTTTCAAATTATTATTCATAATTCATATTTCGTGCAACTAAGTAGAGTTTTTGAATCCATTTTTAAATAATACTTATCTTAGGTATCTTAAAGAAACTTTATTTGGCCTTGCAGCCTACTTAACCAAACTGATTTAGTTGCTTTTTAAGAAATACCTGAACAACACTATTAAAATCTATCTAAGGAATCTAGTTTATATGGTGGGGAGAGGATGTAAAGGTTTAATGCTATTTTAAATTACATGATTTAATGTTGCTATTATTTCTACAATATAGTCTTGATCTTAACTAATTTCATTTCCATTTCTTTTCCCTGTTATATTTTGCTGTTGATTAAATTCATTATGTTTGAATAATTTGCTGTTGTAACTTAGTGATTCACATTTGGGGGTGGGAAGGTATATGACACTTTTGTAATATCGATAGAAAGCTCTGGCCATTGCCTGACATAGCTGTAGTGGTCAGTGTAGGGATAAATGGAAAGAACCCTGGACTTGACAGTGCTCTCTCAATGTGAATAAATGCTCTCATCATTATTGGTCATATAGTGGTCTGCAGGTCCCCTGTCTTCATGAGAATTCATTTAGACACTTTTAGGAGGCAGCTGTGTGGTTCCCAAAAGGTACGGTTATACCGTTTTAAAGATAATGCAATAAACCCCTTAACAGGGAACGTGGCAGAAGCGGTGGGGCTCTAGCATGCTATAGGTTACAGAGAAAAGATTATCATTTTATGTTGGAAAACAAAATGGATTTATGTTGAGACAGTTTCAAAATCCCTACGTTAAAGAAGGGTGACTAACACTACAGGCCTAGGGTGCTGGAAACCGTGGCGGATTGGAGGACAGAGGCTTTGGGCTTGTGCTAAACAAGCTGATGGAAGGTTTACTAGCACCCTGAGATTATTTTAAGGAGAAAAAGTCTATATGGTTAATGGGACTTGAACGTGGAGAAGTCAGATAGCCCAGCTGTTCCATTATCAAACTTATCTGTAGATTTTAGCTCCATTGATCCATGAATCTCTTACAATTGTGTTAAACCTGCTTGACATTCTCTTTAGGTGTTTACAGTGATTATTAAAATAGGGAACAGGCCCTCTAACATGCTTTGCATTTTTTTTCAAAAACACTTAATCTGTCGACAGGGTAGGGTGTAAATAGAAAGTTTCTACAGGATATAAGAGAATTTAAGAAGTGAGGCAACAATACCTAGGCTTAAGCACAATTAGTTGCACTAATTAATGATAATAATGAACCTCTCTAGAGGGGCTGCGTGGGAAGCCAAAGAGAGGGCTGAGTCATTTCTCATCATTTACCCTCTCTGGGCCCCCAGTTCCTCCCGTGCCAAAAGGCATTGAATAAGGTGACCTCCGTTTAAGAGCCACTGCGCGGAGGTGTGTTTTCTAAAGCAAGAAACAGAGTTAGCAGTTTGTGGTGTGGTCCAGGTTCAAATCAACTGAAATTCCATTTGGGCTTTTAAAAAGAATTCTCCTACATGTTCAGTGTGAACTTAATTTGAGTATATGTGTAAAAGCTGCCTGAGTACGATGCTGTGTCCGAGCTGTGTGCCCCCATTGTGTGTGATGGTGCCGAAGTCCTGTGAATCACGAGTGGACGCAAAGCTAGAGACCTGGCGTGCTTGATCAGCCTGCAGGCATCCAGCTTCTGTTTGGGCTGTTCTGTTTTTCTCGTTCTGCATTTTTGTGTTGTTTGTTTGCAGCCATCATTTTGTCTTATCATCTTCAATTCTAGAGCAAGATGACAACAGTAATGACTCTGCTGACCCGGGCATCCTGGTCATACCTGAGCTTAGTGTCACAAAGGTGGCCGGAGAGAGAGCCGGGAATGGGGAAAAAAGCAAAGCCCTGGGAGAGAATGATGCCCAGCATGTACAGGGTGTGCAGGAAACAGCCCCAGACCCTAGAGCCGAGAGCAAAGGCTTGCCAGAGCTCAGGAGGCAAAAGTCTGTGAGGAGAATGATGGAGGATGGACTGAGCCCGCCCAGCAGAGGGCCGCTTTAGCAGAGCTCTTTCTAGCCGCCCTCCAAGGTACCCGCCCGGTGGCGAGGGCACTGCTGCATGCTGGAGAGGATTGGCACAGGCACAGACATGTTGCATGTCATCCACTAAAAATGGAAATGCATGGATTAGACTCAGCACCTTTCCCCTGAATCTTCACAGTCCTTGGAATGGTCAGACCTGTTTAGGAGTATAAATTGTTAGGAAAAACATGGGCAGAAAATGACCAGGAAGTGATCATTTTCCGCTTTGTGTTTTCAAGAATATTACCAATCATCATTGATATGAAGGCTGTCTGTTTCAAATTATAACAGATATAAGTTCAAAGTACTTGTTGAGGTATTTTCCAGGGTCTACCTTCAGTAATGGAGGGAAATGTAAAAACAAAAACATGACTCTGATTTTCATAGTCCAGACTGTATTTGAAATACCAAACTAGTGACATAACCAAGCCTAAATGAGGAGACTTTTCCATTTTTTCAGTCTTTAACTGACGTATTTGCTAAAAGTATAAGAATGAAGATTGGGTATTTTGAAGCTTTGATAATCATAGTATATGCATTAGTGGGGGTTTTGCCCCTAGTTTTCCTCATGATATTTTTCTAATCTTTTCTAATCTTTTGCATGAATTATAGGAGATGTCTTTCTCAAAATACTGTTGAGTGTGATAATAGCATGCCTTTTTTGCTTCTCTGTTAAACACATCCTTAATTGCTATCATTTAAATCACATAGGAATATTTCCACAAAGTAGTGGAATAGTGTTTGTTTTGATTCGTCCTTTGAAATTTGTTCTCTTGTAGTCTGTTGCTTTAGGAATTTTTACTAAAAACACCCAAATCTAAAATGATTTTTTAAAAGCAGTCATCCTATGTGAATTCCTAAATGTTAATGGTTTTTTTTTATTGTTATCTCTTTGTTTAGGGAATACAGATTTAACAGGCCAAGAAGAACTAATGGAAATATCTGAAGCTGATGAAGGATTTTATTCCAGGGCTGCATCTAGCACCAGCCAGGCTGCCTTATCAAACACCACCGCCACCAGCAAGACCAGTTTAGGAAAGAATCCACGAAGGTCCGGAGGAAGCAGAACCGGAGGAAAAGAAAAAGAAGCCTCCGGGGAATCAGGCAGAGAGCACTCAGGTCGAAAACAAAACCCCAGAGCCCTGAGTGAGAACCTCGAGCTGCTCTCTCTGAAGAGGCTCACTCTGACCACCAGCCAGTCTCTGCCCAAGCCTGGCAGCCACAGCCTGGCCAGGACCGCCACCACCATCTTCAGCAAGTCTTTTGAACAAGTCAGTGGCAGCAGTGGCACCCACAACCCTGGCACCGCAGGCGGCGGAGGGACGGGGACAGATGCCAATAGGTTTTCTGCTTGCAGTCTGCAAGAGGAAAAGCTGATTTACATTTCTGAAAGAGCTGAGCCACAGGTTCCAGTTAAACATCCACCCAGTCAGCAGAGACCTCCTAGCATCAGCATCACCCTGTCAGCCGATTAGCATCTGAGACATGTCCCCACATGAGCAGTGAATTGGGAGGTTTCCTTTCCTTTTATGTCCTTCCTCCCTGTTTTTGACAAGAACTCAAAGATGTCTTAAATTCTGGAAGTCAGCTGGAATGGCGGTCAATGAGTTAAAATGTAGTTTGGCTTTCCTTAGCTGTGTTCCCTTCTCCCTGGCTCCCTCAGCTTGAGGACAAGCTTGTCGGCTCCCAAGGAAGTCAGGGTGCAGTTCTGGCAGGTTGTCTGATCGCTTTGGCCACTGCTGTGGGTGAGGCTGCCTCTTTTGGTTGGCTGTATTTCGACCTTCAACGTAGAGGGATGTTATTGGTTGTTGATAAAAAGGTGAGGCAGTAGTGAAACTCCAGGCAAAACCATCAGTTATGAGAGGAACCGTGCATATGCAAGGGACAGCATTGAGGGGAATCTCAGTCAGGACCAGAGTTCGATCAGAAGCCTAGGGGCTGGGTGTATTGTGTAATATCAGGGGCCACCCTCAAAGGGGAATGAAGGTCTTGGCGATAGCCAGCACCTGGCATAGAGCCGGATTCTGCCTGTGTGATTGCTGGTCCCTTCCCTGTGTTTTCTGCCGCAGGTTTAGCAGGTAAAGCCTCTTTTTGCCATTTCCTCCAAGTTGTTAATAGGCCCTGGAGCTGAGGCAGGATGCGTTTCTCCACTTCTTCTACTTTGGAAATTCCAGTTAGTTTGATCCTCTAGTTAGGAGAATGCCCTTCTGGAGATGGCTGGAAGGTCACTGTAAATCTCACAGCATTCCAGCAAAAGGAAAAGAAAAGATATTAAATGTCAAGATAACTGTCCATTTTTACTCTTTTACAGCATTTAAGTTTCTATGCAAATAAGGGAGTTTAGATGTTAAAAGTTTTACAACTGCACAGTATCATGAAAGAAAATAACGAACAGCAAACTCGAAAAGAACAGAAGACATTTACATGGTCATTGTCATTTAGCATTGTCATCTTTCCTGCTTTGGACCCATAAATTTAAAATCCCCACATAGGAACAAGTGGTTGCCTTGTGTTTGCTCCTGCCTCCCATAAAGACTGTTTATTTTTCAGATAGTCCTTATATTTATTTGAACAAAGTTACCAAAATAACCAGTTTCCCCTCGAAGATTTTTACCTGCTACTCTCTAAAGCCACGTCTAACAAATAGTAAAATGTTATTTACATATTTCTTGCTCCCACTTTTCCCCTCCTTAGATCCAAAGAAAAATAGACAGTGACTTAAGATGTTTTCTTTTTATAATCTTTCCTTAGGCATGAGTCAGAAATATGAGAAGACCATGGTGGGGGGGTATCCATTAAAGTGTTGATTTACTTAAACTTAGGTCAGAAGTGAATCTGTAAAAACCAAAGCAGAAACCTGTGACTCTCAGCTCTGAATACTACCAAGTTGGGAATATTGTCGAGATTTGTTTTTGGTAGATTCAGGCATTAAACTTGGGGTGGGCTCTTTTGGTCTGTGGAGTGGCTAATGAGCAGAGAGGGGGTGTAGGCCAGGAAAGTTCCTGGTGGTGAAGGAGGGATTTGTATCCCTTAGCAAGGAGGTCTGGGTGTCATTATAAATGCATGGCCAAGATCGCTGGGGATTCCCTCCCTGTTCCTATTCTGTAAGGAAAACAAAGAGTTTCAGGATTTTTTCCATAGTTGTCACAGTATTAATATTCTTAATGAATTCATGTCTTTAGTCTTAATCTCAAGCAGGTTATTACTTTCGGTGGAGTCTTGCAAGGGAAGGTCATGTAGATTACAGAAGCTTTGGTAGTCAGTACCCCAGCCTACAAAGCATTGAGTATTCAGGCAGTGCAAGTTGTGGGCCTGACATCTGTGTTTTCATCCTGTCATGAAGCCTTATTTTGGTGTTAGGAATAACAGTGCGAATCAGTTCTAATGACTAGAGTTCTTTCGCCTTAGAATTCTCAGTATTTTTATCCTATTATTTTCATGGTATAGCATGGAAAAATTATTTGTTAGTAAAACAGGAAAATGTTAGCATGGAGGATCCCTGAGGGTGTGAAGACAAAGCAGTTCTCACTTCACTGGGAGATTCAAGAGAACATCATACAGTTTCTCTGAGGTGCTAGGAAGAATGGGCTTTACCTGCCACCACAGAGAACTCAGGGGTCCTGGTGGGCTGGGGCAGAAGGAAATAAGAGGAGTTTAAGCTAAGGTGGGAGAAGGCTGATTCCTGGAGACTCCTCATCTTGGAATCCTGGCTGAAGGATTTTGGAGAAGCAGTTTTCTTTATCCTTTTCAATTATGAAACATTTGTCAGACATTACTCATTTCTTAAACATTAACTTGAAACGTTTTAAGTAAAAGGAAACATGTATTTGAACCCAAACAGTTAAGCTCTATCCCAGTTTTAAGGGATTACATATTCTTTGGAAAAACAAAATGAAAGCATTAGCACTGTTCGGTTTTATTAGTATGTGGAGCAGAAGACATATTGCAGCTGTAAAGACTTAAAGTGACTGAGTATTGAGAAAGTGATGCAGTCTGATATTTGAATTTAGCAGCCAGCCTAAAGCTCCACTTAGTGGAAGGGCAAGACTTGCAGAGAGATGTTCTCATTGAGAGTTTGCAAAATTTGTATCTTCTCAGCTGCTCCTTGGAACGTTTTTCGTGGCTTAGAAATCTCAGCACACGCGTAGAGAGGTATTTCGTTCTGTGGTCATTTGTTGGCTTGCATGTACTCTTGCTAAAGATAGTAGTTCATAAAGGATGTGTGATAGAGCCTTCCCAGCCATGGGAAGAAAAAGGAGGACGACTTCTGGTTGGGATGGATTTGCTTTCTAGGCTTCCTTAGTAATATTGTGCTCAATACTGTCCATTATTCATATCAGTATTAAAAGTACAGTGGGATTCCCCATTAGAGATATAAAGTATATTTTGTCTTTTTGTACTGTGTAACTCTTTTGTATTTTATAACTCCGTATCTACAAATGCTATATGCACCACTGGACAAAGTGGAAAATGTGTTGTCACTTTTTTAATAGTAGAGGACCAGTTAGTGCAAGAGTCCACATACATCGATGTGAAGTTTTTATTTTATCAGTCAGATCCGAGATCCTATTTCCTAAAACTGCTTTTTCACGTATAGTTTCTGTTATGTACCACTTCTCTTGTTGCCTTTCTTCTGATCATGTTGTGATACTAACCTTTTCATAGTGATTGTTTTGTTTTTAATTGTATACCTAGAATTTACATTCCTGAAAAATAAACCACAAGTTTGAATACTTTTTATGTGCTACTTACCTTTTTATGGCAGTGAAAAGAAACTGGGGTTTCGTTTTCTGAAGTTTTGTATATTGTGTAAGTGTTTTCCATATAGAATGTCGCTGCTAATAAAGTAGGTTTTAATGAAATAAAAGTTGAAGTAAAATCTTGCTTTCAGATCACGTACTCATTATGAAAACCCCTATCAATGAAATTAGCTGAAGTTAAGGAAAGTAGAAGGTGTTGAAGGGGATGTAGATGAGTTGAGTTCAGCATGGAGAACTAGTTCCAGGGCTAAGCCATTCATTGGATGTTCTTAGGGATAAAGCAGATGGTAGAACCAATGTTCCACCCTAGTAGACGTGTACTGCAAGGAATCCCACTAAATGTGTCAATCAGGGCTTTGATTCAGAAAAAGGAAGTGAAATGAGTGGCCTCCAGAACATTTGTCAGTACCTGACAATGTTAAAAGCTTGACAAGTTATTTTAGAAAAATACATACAGAGTTAAGTATCGGTGCTGCCTGTCTTGACTTAATTCCTGTGCATGTATCTTTTTTCCTTAAGAGGATTGTAAATTCTTATAAGTTATGACTTTATAGCTCCATTTGCATTTGGCACAGTACTTCAAACATTGTAGGGGCTCAGTGCATTCTTTTTGGGTGGTTGCAAGCAGAGCTGTGATCCGATATTTTGTAGTTTATACGCAATAGACATTCTCATAAAATGTCATACTTGGACCTGGGTCTTGTGTGCTACTAACAGTAGTATTCTTATGTAGAAATGAATGTGTATATCTAGAGACAATAGGGAACTTCTAAGTAGGCACAACAGCGCTGTTTAAATAATATAGTAAAACTGTTCTTTTGTAAATTACCTTTTATCCAAAGAACTAGAAGTGTTTTTATAACTATAATGTATTTATCCTGGAAACAGCTCCCAGGAATAACTTAGTAAGGGTCATACTGGTCAGCTGAAATAGTTCTTGTAATGGCCTTAAGTAACATAAATGCATAGAGGAATTCACCTGCTAGGGTCTAACTAATCAATCTATCTGCAAAATCCATAAATTTAGGCTGAACAGTTATAACCTTTACATATCAATATATGCAAACCACATGTCATTTTTCCAGGCAAAAACAATGGGAGAGGTAGGGACTGAAGCTGTGTCTTTTCCTCCCCTTTCTGACTAGCTCAACTAGATTTTACTTCAGAACAAAAACTGTTTGTCTTCCATTAAATAGTTCTACTTTAGGAATGTGGGAGGAGCTATAAAAACAGAAAATATGTGTTTAAACTGCATTATAGATCTTAACTCTCTTACTTAATCATGGCCTAGAGATGATCATAAATTCTTGAAGGTTTTTCCAATAGAGCAGATTCTAGTAGGTTCTGTCAAGCTGGACAAATAAATGTGTAGCTGGACGGACAAACATATGTGGCTGTCCTACTTCCCAAGGACCAGCCAAGCTAAATACCCAGAGGCTCATCCCCAGTGAGTCACTCACTAGACGGTGAATTATTTAGCCATTGCGACCCACTGGACAAGAGAAATACAAAATGGTCCTCAGTCCTCTGATCCTTTTCCATTTCTTTAGAGTCAGTGGTAGAGCTGTGGAAAAGGATTACAGAGAGAACTAAGAATCAGACAGTTTCTAGATAGTCTCTAAGCATTAATTTAACTATCAGTCATCCAGTGGAAGACCCAAAGCCTGTCAGTAATAGCATTAGAAGGCACAGTGGTAGAGCAGAATGTTGGCTCTGGATGTCATGGGTCCAAATCCTGTCTCTGATATTTATTTCCTAAGTGGCCTTGGGCAAGTTAATTCACCTCCAGGGGCCTCAGTTTCCTCATCTGTAAAAAGGGAGGGGGCTGGACTAGATAACCACTAAGTTCCCTTCAGCGCTAGGTTTATGGTCTCTCTAAATGAAAAGGCATAAAAAAGCCAAAGTGAAATGGAAGGATAGCTCATAGGTTCTCTTCAAAGAGGGAACGAGCTGTTTGCTTCATACACCCCAAAGCAACAATATCACTTTGTAGTGTGGCTCAGGATGACTTTAAAAAGACCATTGTAAAGATAACTTCAGGTTATATATCAATACCCATTATGGTCTGTGCAGTAGAAAAAATCCTACAAGGATTGGGCAGGATCCTCAGATGTAGTACAAATGTATGTATTGACTTGAGTAAGAAAGTGTGCACCGAGGAGGATGTCAAAGAACAGATTGGAAAATAATGATTTAAGATTAAAAAAGAAAGGAGGCCAAAATCAAAATTATCTGTCACTTAGAAAACTTATTAACTGTTTTTCATGAATACCATGTGGAAGAAAAGAATCAGCAGCTTCTGGAGCTGGTGGACACAGAATATCACACACACACACACACACACACACACACACACACACACACCCAGTGAAATTGGCTATCAGAGGGAAATAGCTGGTTATTGGTCTGGGCATCACTTCAGCATAAGCTGACTTTGTGTGGTCAGATGATTGACTCATTAGGACAAAGGTCAAAATATTAAGTTAAAGAACAGATAACAATTGAAAATACTACATTAATTAAAACAGCTCTAAGACAACTTAAGTTGTTAACAGTGAAAAACAGGCAGTGGATAAAGGTAAGATTATTTATTGACTGATTATTATTCTTTCTAAGAGGATTTGATTCAGTGTTAAAAAATCACCACAATGAGGAGTCCAGAAGAGGTCAGAAACCATCTCTGTCAGCAAACCCTCGGTCTCACCAAATAGCCTTGTAGTCAAAAGCATTATTTGTTTAGAGTATAGACACATCTATAAGACACTGTGGAGGGAGACTATTAAAACTTATGAGAAGTATAGCCTTAAACAATGGAAGCAAAAACAAGTCTGAAGAAAACTTGGTGTTAAGACCCTCCTAAGTCAGTTTGTCCCAAGAGCATTTGAGATTTAAAATGGAATAGGTTTGGTAACATCACTCTCCTGATCTATTCTCACCATTTGCAAAGTTAGAATCACCACATTTGTGCTATGTGAGGAAGTAGGAATGGTATTTAAGAGAATAAATTGAAATTTGATGTTTGGACTAGACCAAGGGACATAGAAAAGCTCCACGTAGCCAGTGATACAATTTGAAAAGTGCTGAAAAATCAGCTTTCTGAATCTCTCAAGGGACAGAAGATAACTATAAGAATGGGGAAAAGACAAGTAAGAAAAACATAGCAGCAACTACCAGCCCACATGGCCAATTTCTTATTTCTGTACAAAGGCTTTATGAGAAGGGTCTACACAGATATCAAAGGTGAATGCTAATGTTAAAAATAAGAAGGAAATAGGCAAACTAAGACATTTCCTACAGCAGACAATTCAGCCAACCAATACTACGTGCCTGGAACTGCATTGACCAGGCTAGATACATAAAGATAAAAGTGAAATGGCCCCTTCCATCAATAAGATTCCTTTCTACCATGGAAACTATAGCTTCAGTCTCTGAACAATGTGAAATCACGTAGGACTCCAATGGCAAGGATGAGGTAAATACATAATGGATGTCAGTACACTGAAGCCTGTTTCCAACAGGGACCTGTGTGTGCAGACAGGAGTGTCATAAAGGGCATCATGCCTGGAATGAAGGCTGGGGACCGAGGGCAGGTCTTTCACAGAGCACTCAACAACCATGGGTTGCCCTGGCCCACACAGCTGCAAAGAGGTTGGGAGAATTCACAGGATGGCGTAGACAAAATCCAAAAAGGCTGTGAAGGCATCCATATTCTCCATGAGCGAAGGAACTATTCGTATCAGGAATCTGTTAAAGTATTTTCAAATTAGCCAGTATCTTTTACAGCTTTTATAGGAAGTTTGAATTTTCTAGGTTTGCTGGCATTATAAGAAGGAAAGTGCCAAGTAAATTTTCTACAGTAAGTATTTATTGGAAGTTAATAAATAATTGAATTGTTCTGACTGGCAGTGGTCAAGATGAGCTTAGGTGTAAAATAATAGGGAAAAAATTGCCCATAAACTTGGCCACGATGCGTTGTGCCGAGTGGAGCAGAATTCCATTCTCATATTATAACACTTAAGGCAGTCTACTGTTTTTGAGTCCCGGAAGCTACTCAACCATGGTCATGAATATGGTTCTATCCAGGAGAGCCCACAGGCTTCCTGACAAAAGTTGTGGAGACAGAACAATTCCTGAAACTTACAGGCAAGGGTATATCCCCATCTCACTCCTTATGGTCCCACATGCCTCTCGGCTTTGTTCCCTGGTTTGGTCTCCTGGCTTTCCTTGTGTCGGCATGGTGCATAAAATAGACAGCTACATGGTGGAAACAGCAGCAGAGGCTCCATTCATTCTCTTGCTCTGGCTAATCATTATCTGATGAGGTCCCACGATAGCCTGCTCTATCGTATCCCGTCCGATACATATGTGAGCCGTGGATAGAGCACTGGGTTTGGAGTCAGGAGTTCAAATCCAACCTCAGATGCCTCTTAGCTGTGTGACCCTAGGCAAGTCACTTACCTGCTGTTTGCCTCAGTTTCCTTATCTGCAAAATGAGGATAATAATAGTATCTACCTCCCAAGGTTATTTTGAGGATCAAATGAAGTAAGAACAATAAAACACCTAGCATGGTGCCTGGCACGTTGCAAGCACTATATAAATGTTAGTTATTATCACAACAGTTATTATTTTTGTTACCCCTGGGAAGATGAGATGATGGTGACTTGTCTTCAAGAGCAATACAGGGAAAAGTGGTTATGTTAGTCTGTAGTAAAAGGAGCTTAAGCTTGTCATCCATCACTACAATGAAGTAGTTGCCTTTGGCATGCTCAGTCATTGGGCTGGGGAAGAAAGAGCAGAGTAGGATTGGTGTACTCAGACTGCAAACTGCCCCTGGAAACAACATTATATATCCTCAACTCTTCTGGAGGAAAACTCATATTTTGAATTTACAGCAAATTAAACCCAAAGAAACTGGAGAGAAAGAACTTTGAAGACCAAGCTGTCTAACCCAGAAGTGAATTAGAAGGAGTAAAAGAA